ATCCTCTATTATTTGCCCGTTTCCCTTATGAGTTTTCAAGATTTTTCACCTGATTTATTAACGCCAGTTTTTCATGGATTTAGGGGGAAAGTACATTTATTACACCGAGGGAGGGGGATGAAGATGTCTTGAAAAAAGCTCATATTTTTACAGGGCCCCTGTTGAGGTTATCGGTAAATTTCGATGCCCCCCCTCCAAGTTTTTAAAATTTTCAATGCCCCCCCTCTAGAATTCGGAATCGAAGGAGTACAATCCAGAATTCTCTCTTATCATAGATACAATTTGCAGTTCCTCAAGATGTCTGATATACTCAAGCATGTGCTTCTCCTCAACAAAACTACCGATCTGCTGCTTCTTTCACCTCACTAGCGCCAGATGAAATGGCACCGTCTTTAAAACATTTTAAATTGGCTCTAGGGGTGAAATTATCAACAGGTTGTTGTTCTCCATCATTCAGCGTATTCGGGGTCTTGAACACGTTCATGTAGTGGCCAGGATTTCCTGGATCAGGGTAATGTGCTGGAACCTTACAGAATGTCGCCCCCACCCAAGTGTCTCCCGGCATCTGTTGCAAATGTCTTTGTATGCCTGTCAAAAATGCATGCAAAAGTGCCATTATGCTTCAATTTCTTTAATTTCCATTCCGTTTGTACGAAATATCCCATAAACATAGAACACATCATTCTTGCAAATCGTATATGCTTTTTTGTTTTTGGAACTGCTACTTTTTGGCGCGTAAGTTACTTCACAAACCTGGCGCCAAAAAAATTTCAAATAAGCTATAGGTGATTTCATGTATCCATTTAGAAGAGCAGACTAAGGATATCTTAAAACTGAAATCGGTTTCGAATACAACCATCAGGGACGTAGCAAAGCATCTGACGTTTGGGGGGGGGGGGAAATGTCAGAGGATTATACGTATTGGCACTCTCATACTAAGTTTTGGGAGAAAAGGGGGGTCTGGGGGTCCTCCCCCGAAAATTTTTACATTTTTGAAGCTCTAGGACTGAATTTCTGGCGTTTTCTAAAGCAAATTTCGCAAACAAATTACATGTAAATTGACTGTATTTTACAAAAATGGTTATCATTTCACAAAAATAATTACTTTATTACGCAAATTTTACCTGAAAATGTATAAATTTTAACTTTAATTTGCTGGGGTCAAACCTTTGAAAAGTTTAGAGCCCCCCCCTTCAGTATATCAAGAACTTTCAGAGCCCCCCCTTTAATGCCAGAAAATATTTCGGAGCCCTCCCTTAACATCTTCATCCCCCCCCCCCCTCGGCATAATAAACGTACTTTCCCTTATGAATAAACGTTCACTAACATAGATAATGAGTTAAATATAAACTTAAATTGTTATTCTAATGAGTTTCCAAACATCTATTCTATTAACTATGATAGAATGGATGGTTTGGAAACTCATTAGAATAACAATATAACTCATTATCTATGTTAGTCAACGTTTATTCATAAATCTGGTCCTTCACCGTCACGTGCGTATTGTATTTTTGCCCAACTAACCAATAGTATTAATGTTTTAGAAAAGTTACCTATCCGTGACTCGAACAATAGGGTAAATTAGAAATTGCTATTGATGGATTTGGCAAAAATACAATACACATGTGACGGTGAAGGACCGTATTTATGAATAAACGTTGACTAACATAGATAATGAGCTGTATTGTTATTCTAACGAGTTTCCAAACCATCTATTTTATTAACTATGTGCAAACTTAGCAGCAAAACGAAGGTCAGTGTTCAAGGCCGGTAATGACACTTGTTGTTATTGTTGATACCGTTTTGTTGTTGTTGTTGTTAGTTTTTGAGAATAAAAATGCACGTTTTTTATGTCAAACAAATTTCAGAAAATATCAAAAAACTAAAGCATCACGAATTCAAGGACTTGCAAGCACTTCTTTTCTAAATTCAAGAACTTTCAAAGCCTTGAATTTTTGTTTTCAAATTCAAGACTTTAATTAAGAATTTGCATAGACTCCTCCACAGGTATCTCATGGTTTACCTTACTCCGCCTGCCAGAACCAGGGGCGCCGCCGATCCACAGGTATCTCATGGGTTTACCTTATTCCGCCTGCCAGGACCAGGGGCGCCGCCGATCCACGGGTATCTCATGGGTTTACCTTACTCCGCCTGCTAGGACCAGGGGCGCCGCCGGTCCACAGGTATCTCATGGGTTTACCTTATTCCGCCTGCCAGAGCCAGGGGCGCCGCCTGTCCACAGATATCTCATGGGCATGGGTTTATCTTATTCCGCCTGCCAGGACCAGGGGCGCCGCCGGAAGCAACGTGGGGACTGGGGGGCAGACATTTAAAAAGGGCACTTACTTCTGAGCCTTAATTTTTTGGGGCCAATGTTCGTTAACATTTTGCTGCACGGATACTTAATTACTCGTAGCCAATGCAGTTAGACAAATCTCGATTTCTATTTGTTGCCTCATGACCGTAAGGTGGCTCGATATAGTTTTTTCGATATAGTTTTTTAAAAATAGAAAATTTGCGATTTACATCCGTACTTTTGGACAAATATCACTTGATTATCATTTTTGTTGAACAACAAAAAGCATCTTACTTATGCAAAATAACATCTAAAGAGTTTTGACGATGACTCCCAAATTAAACTTTATTTCATGAAATGATTTCTCTTCGTATACTCAATTATTTTGACAATTTAAAAAAAGTTCTATTGAATTCTAGTTCTTGTAAAAAAAGGCAACTTCCAAGAGTTTCCAAGTTTTTGTACTTACCCTGTATACTAAAATGTTTGTATAATAGACTAAGGTACAAAAATTCTGGTAAAAAAGAACATTTTTGGTCATTAAGAACGTTTTTGTTTCAGTTTTGAAACTTGACTAGGTTTCCATATATATCCAAGTAAAAAGCGTAGGAGTGAGATGAATAACTTGAAGATGACGTAAATGGAACTGGAAAATAAAAAACATCTGTCAGGATATAATTAGAACCACAGGAAGTAAAGAAACTGGCAGAGAAACTAAACAATGGTTAAAACTGCAGTTACAGTGGTTAAAACAATACAAAATCACGTGCAGTAATAACTTACCTAACTAAAACTAGGAACGCTGTAACTATAATGAATCCGAACGTTGCCCAGAAAAGATAGATTCTTGTTAACGATGCTTCTGGTCTCGTGACATCAGGACAACTTTCAGCTGTCAATCGCTAAGCGATAGGTAAAACAGCATTAAAATTTTATTTCTGATCATCAACAATAGTTGGTAGTCAATTAATAATAACGTTAACTAGCATGACTATATGGGAGAGGGTTGACAATGAAAATATATAGCCTTATAGGAAGGGGATCGAGATACATGTAGTTATACACAAACCTTAGTTATATGATCAAAGTCTGTAACAACTTCGGAAACAATACTGCCCTTGGCGCCAAAAACCTGGAGCTTAATTTTCACCTATAGTACACAAAAAGAAGTAGTAAGGGCCTTTTCATATGAGCCCGCGGTTTGCAAGGAAGCTCACCTGAGTGGGATTAATTATTTATGTGTTCATATGACTGTAATTTTATCCCACCTGATGTTTTTATCCCACCTGAGTGGGACGAAATTATGTAAACATAGCTTCTTGGAAATATTTTTGTTGTAATTAAATAAACTGTACCAGGGCCGTCGCGAGCAGTCTTCCTTTGGAGGGGGGGCAACAAAAATCTACGGGGAGGAGGAAGAGAAGTCAACAAAAAACCGGACACTCAGTATATATAAAAAATTTTCCGGACATTAGATTTTTATTCTCTCAAATGATTTAGATTTTAGTATCGGCCCTGATGATAAACTTATACCACCATTAACCTAAATCGTATACGGAATGCTAATTCTTCCCCGATTTGTGACCCCCCCCCCCAGCACACACACACACACACAGGCACACACACACCGATCGCTAGTCGCTACGGCCCTGCACTGCACCTATATACAATCTTGTGCAAAAATTATTGAGACAACTAAGTCATTGCTCCCCACAAACAATGTTGGACAAACGATACAAATGTTTTTCAACATTGAATAGGGGGTGGTGGGGGGGGGAGTAATCACAGAAAAAGAACGAAATATCAAAAGTCTCATTATTTTTGCCCGAGATCGGTAGTATTACGACCTTAATAGTGTCTGTTTAGGGTTATTAATGTTTTTTTGTTTGTTTGTATTTTCCAACAATATTGGTAAAAATATCCATACCAGTCAGGTGGGATAAAGCCTTCAAATGGAAATTTTATCCCAGTTGACTGAGATCCAACCTAGTGCTAAGTGACCAAACAATGTATTTTATGCGCATGCGTTAACAAAGGGCATTCGGATGTCACTCAGGTTGGTTCCGCGGTTAGCTGGGCTTACGTTAAATAACGCGTTATGACCGGAAAACGGCAAAGTTTCATTCTCAATCAATCATGTTTGACTTGGGAGCCCTTCAAGTTTTGACAGACCTGTCAAAATAGCATTAATTCGGTAATGCATCAAATATGCCATTTATTTATTAATGAAGTAGTTACGAATGACGTTTTAGGTCAACTTACTGGGTTGGAATCCCAATCTATCTCTACCAAACCAAAGTTTCTCTCAACCACTGGCTCCGTAATTCGGAAATCATTCCCTGCAACATTCCTATAGAGTAGCACAGAAACAGGTAAATGACGTCATAATGATTGAATAAACTTTGTTTAACAAATTTATTTGGATCAATATACATACAAACATGTAAAAAAGCGAATATTTAGAAAGTAAAACGCAGACATTTTAAAGTTAGATCCAAAAAAAGGCAAGGTACGACTCTTCAAAAAGTTCCCATGCAAGGCACCTGCTGTCCAATTATATTATTATACAATTATATATATATACACAGTACACATAGACTATTAAAACACACATTTATCTTTGCTATTCTCTGTGACAGGGACAGTCACGGACCAAGGACCAAGTACAGGATAGTTCAACACCATATAATAGAGCGTAGAAGTTCTAAATATCTGCGTTTAATTAAGAAAGTTTTGGAAAGAGATAGGGCTAGAAAATGTATCTGGATTGACATCTTGACATGCATTGTTCCACAGTTTGATACGGTTGAAATAGGAAGATTGAAACGTAGCAGTTCTGGGAGTTTGAAGCATTACACCAGTAGGCAGTAGCTTGGCTGAGTCAAGTACGTTCATGTTGAATACAAGAGACGCGATTGTTAATGTTAAGATCGACGTAACCATATACAACGCCTTGAAGAAAAATACGAGATTTTTCATCTCTCTATCGTAGGAGAGTGGTAAGAGTTCCAACTTTAACAGTCGTTGCTTGTATGGCATTTCACCAGTACTTGTTCTTAGAATCTTTGATAGTGTATCAGATGTATTAATATAATACTGTCGAATATCTCTGCAGTGGTTATAACTTATTAGCAGGGACACTATAAATCCAGATTATTTTACATCAGTGACCATGACTAGGTCAGGTCAGCTGCGATCAAATGGATACAAGGCTTTATCTGAACATAAGGTGGCCTCAATCAAAGTTTGATGAAATGTTATCACTGAAATGAAATCCCGCCCATATTACCTTATTAACCATGCGCACTGCTCATAAGTAACGAAAGGTATAGTACAAGTCATATAAAGACTACTGGATGTCAGCTCGTACAACGGATAGCCTAGAATGAGAAACAGTCCATCATTATATGGACACAACGTTGATTGGTTGGACAGTGGTTTCATCCTTCGACCCAGGTTCTATTCTGGTAATATTCAGTTATGTGATCATAATTTTGCTTAGTTCATCATCATCATGTGCTCCCTCGGGCGCTCCTGAATAGAATATGAAAAGAGTATTTCCGGTTTTGATCCACCAACCAACGCAAAAACCTTTTGTACTAACACTGGACCAATAAGAGACGGGACTGGACCTTCAGTTCAGTGCTTTTAGTTTAGTTTAGTTTAGTTTAGTTTAGTTTAGTTTAGTTTAGTTTAGTTTAGTTATTAAATAAAACCACTGGCTTCCAAAGAATACGACAAAGTCGACAATTATAGCGTGTTCAATACATCCACAGTACAACACTCACATCAATATTCAATGGCTATATAGATTTGATTAATTCAACAAACCTGACGATGAACTATTGAGACAAGAGGTTTCCCCAAAATGAACATCGCCACTAAGATAAATTACCTAACAAAGAAAAGTTAATGTCTATAATGCAAATGTAAATGCACCAGTTTCACTAAGCATTAGAATGAGTGGATGAATTGTGAATGTATCGAGTATATTTCGAGTCGTCATCACTCGTCATCTGAATATTCATAACTCTCCACTTGTTTACATCCAGCAGAAGAAGAAAATTGCAAGTGCAGAGAAGCAGAGACGGATTTTCATATTTTCGTTTTGGGATGGGGTGGGGTGGATAAATATCTGGGGGGGGGGTGCTGCTGCTTGCTTTGGCCGGGGCGTGGTGGCAACGCCCGGAAAGGCCAAGGAAAAAGTTTAACAAAATTTGTTTTCTAGGCCTGCGGCTTCAAAATCCGTGCCTGCAGAGAAGTGCAGAGGCAACCTCGTACCCAGAAAGATCCTGGGTACGAGGTTGGTGCAGAGGCAATTTTTTCTGCGTTTTCTTCTTCTGATGATGTGAACGAGAGGATGAGTTATAACTCCGTCACATCCATCACGAGAAGAAAATCGCACTAGAAATTTCAGCAAAAATTGCAAGTGTAAAGGGCCCTTCAAGACTGACATTGATGGCCAACCGCTAACCACAAATGGCAAACTTCAAATTGTATTTTGGGGTAAACTGTTAGCTGTCCGAATTTGTGCATTAAAATTGAAGGATGAATTGGCTACTTAGCTGTCGAAAATTTGTAGTACTTTTGAAGTTTGCTGTTTGCGGTTTGCCGTAAAAGTCAATCTTAAGGTCTCTACTATCATACGTTGGTCAACCGACAGTCATCAAATGAAAAATTAATATTTTTGACGATATGTTGCCTGCATGTATTTAATAGGAAAAAATAAAATTGGAATGCATGATTTAATTTAAGCCGGGCGGCAGCGTGCATATCCTACGATTTTAGTCGGTCCATTTATGATACACTGTAGGTGAATCATATTTAACGATGCCATGAATACAGAGCAGCGAGAGTAATGAGCGCACAAATCACACCACATGTTGGACATCTGAACGAGTCGCTGTCTGAAATTCAGACTATATCAATGATAGCCCGCATGGCACTATGGCAGGCGGTCTTGCCCGATTTTAGGGACTGCCTGCCATGCAGGCTATATCAATAATTGCGCAAAAATGTTTTTGAACGTCTTGAGCTTGAATAAGCACAACGTTTCATTATTTTCAATTTTTCTTTAATAACAACTCCAGGTATGAGGAACGAACGGATCTTAACTTATAACCGTTTTACAACTTATGCCTCACTCTTTGAATAGTTGACAAATGTTACTTTCCTTCCTTCTCTACACACATGCAACTAAATTACATGATTACAGTATTGTTATCCTTCCAAAGGACTCGCTCACCTTGTCACGACGTCGTGTTAACCAAATCAGCCTATCGTAACTGTGTGGGCAGTCTTCCCAATTTTGTAGTAGTCGTATAGCATTTGACAAAATCTGTTAATTAAAGTATTGATATTAAATGATTAAATGATTATGTAAACGGGACGAAACATTTGATGAGACGAAATATTTTTCATCCCTTTATGAATTTCTCTTTATATGAGATGGAATGGAAAATTACTGGGATCCCGCCAACGCGATCTTCGTAAGATTAGTGTTTTAGGCTCGTTTATATCATTATTACCAATAAACACGGATTCACCAACATCAGTGGCCGATTAATTGAGAATGAATATTGATGGGTTAGGCGAGAGATGAGAAAAACCGTCCCCTCGTGGCAGGATCCCGGTCGTAGAAACAGGAATCTTGCTTGGCGGACGGGAAGAAAAATGTCTGGAACCTGATAAATTCGAGAGAATTGAAATAAACATGCAGGGATACCTGCGAACGTTCTACCTGTCCCCATTAACATGCTTAATGAAGTGGTTGTGTCTAATGCTCTCTACTTTTCTAAGCGTTCTCTTCTGCAATTGCATAGGCATGAAAGTTCAATTTTCACCTGCATACCACTGGTAACAATCGTAAAAGCGACCGGAGTTGGATCATCTAACTGTTCTTCGAGCCATTTCCATTGTTCCTCTCCTAGCATATCACAGTTTGTACCAAACACGGTGAATGATCGCACGTCTAGCATAATAAGCTACAAAAGAAACTCTAACAGTAAACTTAGGCAGAGGATCTGAGGCAGCTGAGGGTAGGGGATAGGGATAGATAGAATATCCGGATAGGATATTAAATGAGATGAAAGTGAATTTGGCCTTTAAACTTTGTGAACAAAGTTTTGCAACCATGCATGTATATCGATAGGTAACTGATGAAAATGATCATTATCAATTCATATCCACACTTTACTTAATCAACTACAATTGACTTGAAAAGCTGTCAGAACAATTGCAATAAATGATAAAGTACAAGTTCCCGGACACTTGAAATTCTTGCCGTGCTATGCTGGATATACCTATGACCACTGGAACGTTTGGCATGATCATGGGTATTAATTACCAGAACAATTGAACTTTGCCTTGCAGATACAAACCAGTAGGTTTCAGAATAAAAGGCGGGTTGCAATCCGTCTCAAGGGGTTCAAAATACAAGGAGAATTCTGCCATGTTGGATGAAATTTGAATCGCAAGGAAAATCGTTTGTCAGATTTCTCTAACATGGTGGAGATGACACAATGTGATAACCACCTATAGGCGTAATCATCTGTGTTTATTTACCTTTACAGCTTTATCACCATGACCAAATGTATAAGAAACGTACATTCCTTCGCGCCTTCGTCTCACGCTGTCCAGCGGTTCATCAAGAAAATCTAAGAAAACGTCTTGAGTCTGCAACCTATTCCCGAAATTCTGAAAGTAGATCGAACGAACAGGATCAGTTGAATTGTCTTACGTATCTGCAACAAGATTTATAAAATATAAGCTATGTATTAAACAATCTAGTTACAATGTGCCGCAATGGGCACTACTTTTAAGGGAAACATTTTTGACATTGATTTATCACCCAGACTCCCCTGGTTAACCTATTAAGCTGCGACAATCCTTTCGGGGGCGAAGTTGTCAGGGCAAGCGCCTTTCAACTCTGAGATCGTGGGTTCGATTCCCGCTATGGACTCATTTGTTGACTCATGTGAAATGAGTCTGTCAACGCTCTGCCGAAAGTCGTGGGTTTTCTCCGGGCGCTGTGATTTCCTCCCGCAGGGAAAGTTGACAGGGTGGGTTAGGATAAACATAGTTAGGAAAGTAATATCACAATTGTTGTAAGAATAAATAGTCTAAGCTTAGTAGGTAATATAACTAAGAGTTATATTTGATGTAATCGGTCAGCGAAAAGCCCCGATGGGGAGTAAGGTGAATAATCATAATCATAATCACTTTGTTAATTGTACCCTGTCACTGTTGGAAACCATACGATTTTACTCGTCAAGGGGAAAGTAACCGAAAGTTTTGGGCGTTAACGGGCTAACCAGCTTATCTTCCCACGTTCGTTGTTGCCGCTTCTTAACCCGTAAAGCCTCAATGTGCCGCATTGTGTTTTTTGAGATTATTGGATACTATTGGAAATCTTAAAATTAACAAGTGCAGTAACAGTGAAACACATATAAAGCGCAAGATGAATATACCTTTCCCCCATCATTCATACCATAGTCATGATCATCCCAGATACCCACGATGCTTGTGTTAGATTTTAGAAATTCCTAAAAGCACAATAGATATTGGATAGCTCTATAATTTCTAAACTGCTGCCCGAGCTAGATGTTTTCTAACAAGGGCAATAGAGAGGTTAAGATTCACGTTTACGGTGGGCCACAAACGGCAAACTTCAAATCGCATTTGAAGGTACGTTCTACAGGTGTTCGAAGGTTTCCACAAGTTTTTAGTTTATTCATTCTTCAACTTTAATGCACAAATTGTCCTAACTTCGAAAAGCTAACAGTTGACCTCAAAATACGATTTGAAGTTTGCCGTTTGTAGTTAACGATCTGCCGTAAACGTGAATGTCTCCAATCTCGCTCTTAAGGAGGAAACTGGGGGAAACGATCCAATATACATCAGACTAGCTAAGTAGTTAAGTCAAACATTTTCACGAACCACGTGGCTTATTGATCGAGCCGACTCCTAACATAGGATTGGTAGCAAAGTGAAATTGATCGGGTGAAATTTTTTCGACTCATATCAAATGTCGAGTAGCTTTTAAATGAGTATGACTAGAAGGAATGTTTTACAGGAAGAGTTATATCGGGGAGTCAAGATTTCGGAGAGTTAAATTAGTACGTTAGACCAAACCCGAATTGTAGGAGAACCTCTTAATCGGTTCAGGATTGTTTGAAATATTTAGCGACAAAATGTCACCAGGGGCCAGTTGTTCGAAAGTCGATTAGCTTAACCTAAAATTCAAAGTGAACTTCCTGACAGTTTGTCAATAAATTTGGAAATGTTTCTTTAGAAAACTGGATCGATATCAGTTTATCTGGATCGACAGGAGTTTATTTCTCTGAAGTTTTGAAATAAACAGAAATGCAGAAATACAAATCCCAAAACAGTGGGTTAAATTTTAACCGAGGGTTAGCGCCAACCCACCTTTGAACAATCGGGCCGAGGTACATATAAAGTTCGGTTATCAATTTACACAGTGCAACCTACACACAGTACATAAAGCACATTAATCTCAATACGATATCGTAATTTGGTGATATATTTGGGGCCATTCACAAAGGATGTCCGGCCAAATGATGGATTTTCAGAACCCCCCCCCCCTTGTCCGGCATTGTCCGAATTAGTGACCCCTCCCCCCCGGACATCCGCCATGCCTCGCAAAAACTCACGCAACCTTGTGTATGACACTGTTTAATTCATCATTGAAGGGAAGAATGAGATAATATAATGAAGTGTTCAAAATGCCAATTTCACAATAGGAAGGAGAGTTCAAAATAGAGGAAAAAGAAATTTGTTTTTGAATTTTTTTAAATTTCGGACATTCAGATTGCTAAAAAAACCCTCCCCCCTATGTCCGAGATTGTCCTGATTTTCCAACCCCCCTCGGCTCGGACATCCTTTGTGAATGGCTAATCAACATAATAGTACATAAGTAGTAAAGCGCTTACCGCTTGAATCAACGTTAATTGTATTCCGTTCCTAACATCAACACTATCAACCCTGGAAACCCCCAATGATTAAAGTCAATTCAATAAAGTCAATCAGATGGACTCTACTACCTGATAATCCGGATGAAGTTTCTGTCTTCTAAAATATTTGGCCATTAATGGCAACGGCGATGGCGTCCAAATGAATGGTACTAATAGTGTATCTCCATATGCAGCTATTTAAAGAAATATTCTAAATAAGGTATTTTATGTTACGGGCGCATCAGGCTGCCACTGTATGATTCATGTCAGATCAAGGAGCACGGCTACGATGGAAGGGTCAGTTTGGGATTCAACCCGCCCTGTATAACATTGCCTGTGGGAGGAAACCAGAACACCAGAAGAAAACGCACTCCCGGTAGAGAGACTGATTCTTTTCACATAAGTGTCATGGGTCCGCAGCAAGAATCAGACCCACGATACCAGAGGTGAGACGCTTGTTCTGATGGCTGCGCCACCAAAGCCCATATCACGACCACGGGAAATTAAATAGTCTTTTCGCGTTTCAACAAACAAAAAAAAATGCCAACGACTGCCTCGTAGACGGACGTCGAGAAATGCCTCATTTCCAGTTTTTCAATCAAACTTCTCAACTGATTCTTCCAATAATATTGATCACGCAATGTCACTGGCATGCTGCACGCTGTTATATTGTCATCTATTATTATTTAATAATTTCTTTTCATTTTCTACCGTAAAAAAAGATAAAATTCATACCATCGCCAAGCCACATCCACAGATCTGGTTGTTGTTGCAAAATATGCTTCCACACAGGTTGCGGTCTTTGGTGCCATTTTGATTCACTAAACATTCCACTGTCAAAGTGTCAGAAAAGAAATTACTCAGTACTCGATTTATAATTAAATTCGAAAGGATTGATTGATTTTAACGCTCCCTATCCCAAGGGGGTCGTGCACTTCAGTGGCTTCAATGATTGAAATATTTGGCTTTTGAACATGTTTTCGAAAAGGGTGGTAAATTTCAGATTGCCTGACTTATTGCGCGGCGTAAGAGCGCATTGTTTAGTATGAACATTAGAAAATTCGCGCGAATTTTTTAGTCTAAAATTATTCAAACAGTCGTACCTTGAAGAGCTACCCATTCCCCAGGTTCGTGCATTTGTGGATGGTCTGCACTTTTCTACTAATTAAAGGGTACAAACGAGCGAAAACTAGGGTATGGGAAAAAAGCGAAGTTGCAAGTGTCCACGTACTCCAGTACTATTCTCTGGCCAACCATTCCAAGGACTAATGAGAACGGATAATTTTTTGAAGCACTTGTTGCAAATACCGAAGCGTTTGAAACCGTGCGTGGGAAAGCTGGACAAATTGCCACCCGAATGGGTGGACATAAATACAGTAGGTTAAATGTTAACTTGTCAGGATTGTGTTCCTTAGATGCTTTGGGTCTCGAGGATCACCCAGACCAAGTCTAAGACCAACAACAGTTCTTTTGCAAGGCATTGCAAGAACAATTTATTGCAGCAAAGGTAACAAGGAACGGTACGAAACTGGCTTGACGTGGAAGCCTGGTCATGGCCCTTACCAAACAGTGATAGAAACAGTTTGGTATTATGGAAAATGTCCCTAATGACTCGGTGTGAAAGGAAGTCTATCTGCCGCACAGACCAGTAATCCGAAGATCTGCTGAACCCACCAATGTGCGGATCGTATATGATGCGTCTTTCAAGGAAAGTGATAGCTATCCATTATTTAACTACTGCTTGGAAATTGGCCAGCCATCGCAAAATCTTCTATGGAACGTTATCGTTATAGGAAGCGTCTAAAGCCAGTGGCAATGAGTGGAGTTCTTAAGCAAACCTTTCTCCAAGTTCGAATAGGTCCCTCAAGATACTGCAGTTTTCACTCGACCTTGGAACGCCAATTGTTTTGTCGACATGTTTAAACGTTCAAAAAAGTTTTGTCGTCACACGATA